TTTTTTTTTTTTTTTTTTTTTTTTTTTTTTTTTTTTTTTCCTTACATGTCGTTTCCATACAGATGTTTCCTTTGTTAGTGTGTATGTGGCATTTATGTTTGTTTTTGGAAGGCATTCAGAGGAGGGTTAAATATAATTCTCCTGAAGTGTTACTGTAGTAATCTTTTATGGGGGAAAAACTGTTTTGCAGTTTATTTTCTTAAAAAATCATAGAACAAAAGACGGGTTGGACTTTAGAAAACCCGAATTACAAGATAAAACGTGATGTTAATTGCTTCAATGAATGATTTCTTTAATACTGTGCAAGCATGTAACAATTACATATTAGTATAGGAAATTTCTTTATGAATGAAATTAAATGCCAATACTGGGAAATTGTTCTACCTGCCCTGGCCAGGCACTTGATTAATAGCTTTCTTGATCTATGGACAAAAACAAGATAACAATCCCTTTTTCCTTGATTGGTATCACCAAAATGTTCCTTTTTTATTTATTTTATATTATTATTATTATTGTTATTATAATATTTAGATGTTTTCAGCCTGAAGTATGTAGAATAAACAGAACCTTTTTTTTTGTTTTCATAAAATTTCTTTGCTTTGTACTTTGGTTTAGGGCGTTCTTGTGTTTCTTGCTGCAAAAACTCAATTCATCAAGAGTGCCGAGGAAGCCGCTCAATTTCAAAATTTCATTATATGCATTGAGATGCTTATAGCTGCTTTAGGCCATCTTTATGCATTCCCATACAAAGAATATGCAGGTGCTAATATTGGCGGTTCGCATGGTCTCACGGGAAGTCTTGCACATGCTGTAAAATTGAACGACTTCTACCACGACACGGTCCACCAGGTGAGGCTTGATATAGTTTTCGAGTTAGCTTCTTTTGTAGATGGTTCGGTATCTCTTTGCTGGTTTGTTTATTGACTTCACCACATTTCTTTTGCAGTTTGCACCAACTTATCATGACTATGTTCTTTATAATCATAGCGATGGAGATGAAGGAACAAGGAAGTATCGATCACGCACCTTTGTGCCTACCGGGCCTGAGATGGACGCTGTTAGAAGAAACAAACACATGTTTGGAAACAAGATAGATGACATTCAGCTTTCCACAATCTCGTCTTCAAGTTCAAGTACTCCGAATGATTCTGAGTTAGCCCTCGAACCAGCACATTCCGATGCAATGAAGTCTTCTCTTCTTATGGACGCCGCAAACTCTTTATCCACACCATTCGACATGTCACTTATCGACTTGGATATGTCTAGTTACCCCTCGAAAGTTGCTGCAGCAGACGACACGGAGAGGAGGTAACGAGAATAGTTGACAGGTAGGGGAAGAAAAGAAAGATCTTTGTGAAGGGAATACGTAAAGAAAGAAAGATACATATAGAGATTTTAGGGTGTACCTTTCGTTTCTGGGACGTTTGTGCACATTGGTATTGCAGCATAACAGAAAATTGTGTACAATGGCGTGTTTCTCCGAGTCGGTGGTGTATATACATGGTTCTAATGTGTTAAAAATTAGGTTTGATACACAAGCATGCATATAAATTCATTTAAATTATCATACTGATACTTTGCTACATTTCTAAGTTGAGGATTCATGTTTGTATGTATTTGGAAATGATTAGTTTTCTTGGTGTGTTGAAAGTATGTGATATTCTCCTTTCAATGCTTGCATATTGTTTCCATTGTGCATTGTGGATTCGACACATTATTCCATTTAATACGAAGGGAAATTGGAGAAGATGGCTAGAAATATAGCGTAGTTACGGCTCCAAATTCTAGTGAAGAACGGCTAATGGTGTTCTTAGAGGGCTAGAAATTGCTCGTTTTGCTTTGAGTATTGATGTGGTAGATCGAGAATCCAAGTCGAAGAATTTTCTCCTTAGATTCAATATCTTTCACTCAGATCAACTCTTGTATTTACATTTATCGTATCAGGATTTTTAAATTATTCTTAGTAGAGATGTCAGACGTCACGGTAGTATACGATGGAAGCTGAGATAATAACAAGTAGTATCATGACCTCAAGATAATCGATGAACAAGTTTTACCAAACTCGAGTAAAAAACAGTTCATTGAGTACATTAGGAACAAGCTTATTCTACCTTACACGGTAACTACATTGTCTCTTGAATAATTAATCCAACGTAATTAGAATTACTGAACATCGAACAAAACCTTAAAACTCACTTCGTTCTCGAACAACATTAAAAAAAAAAAAAAAAACAATAATATTAAACTTAAATTTTTAAAAAATTAGAAACAAAAATATCAAATGCCTACTAAAGACGTGTCAAATATTAAAATAGACACTTTTATAGGCCTCTAATTGCAAAGTTGGTGGAATATTTTCCTCCACAAGTAAATAATATAAAAATAAACTAGTGGGTGACGAGGGGTCAAAGTTTGACAACCTGTGTCACATTTCATAATATATTAAACTTTGAGGACCAGAAATAAATAAATAAATTAATAAATAAATAAAGCTGGTAGATCTCAGCCGCACAAATATATTCTCTTGCTTTACCAATGATTGGCCTTATGCCTTTTTAACCTAACATGCACATATATCATTGCACATGCCTTCCAATATTCTTCCTTTGAATTTTATGAATAAAGACACTCCTAGCAGCTACTCCTTCCACATTTTAATACTCGACTCGTACTATAGGGGAGCCTCACCCGTCACTCTATAAATTTCTGCAATCCCGTCCATATTCGAAACTTAGAAACTCGTCCCTCATCAACTCGAGCATAGCATACATATTTGACCTAACAGTTCAGAAGCTCGAATCCCTAATCTACAATACTGAGCAAATGGGTCTTTTGGAGACTGCTGGCATTGGAGGACGTCGGTGGAATCAGTATGAGAAGCTACACAGTGAAGGTAATGACGTGGTTAAGTGTAGACATCGATGGATGAAGAAAACACTGAAGAGAGGCAAGAAGGGTTTTCGATTGTATCGGCTTACGAGGTCAAGGAGTTTTAGTTTGAAGGTATCGTTTTTGGTCTTGTTGTCGAGAAGAATCAGGGAGATTGTTAATAGAATGAAGGTCGAAGATGTATGTGCTAATGTCATCTTCTTAACTCAATGGGGACTTCCTACTTTGTCTTATAATTCCTCTACGAGTTCGTTGCTTTGATTCATGTTCGTGTTAATAGCTTGTATGTAATTCTTTTATGTTAGCAACTTTTGTTATTCACCATTTCCGAGGTATTAGTTCTTAACCTATCTTGTGAGCCAAAATAATAATAAATAATTAATTATTTAAACGGATTAAAATATTGTTTTAATTCGGGAATAAAATAAAAAAAAAGTTACATTTAGTGAATTTTTTTCTAATTACATTAATTAAATTTGATTTTGCGAAATATATATATATTTTTTTTGAAATTATTAGGTTTTCTAAAAGGATTTAAATTTAACTGAAATTAAATTTTTTAAATTAAATATTTGGTTTATTCTATTTTAGTTCGAAAAGATTTAAAACGTAATTTTAAAAATAAATATTTTAGTTTTTAGTTTTTAATTTTTAAAATATATATTTTAGTGTTTTTAAAATTATTATAATCATTATTATATTTTCATTAATATTTGTCTTATTTAACTTATGAGACTTGAATACGTTCTCGAGTCAACGTCGATCAAAATGGTAAAATGATAGTTGTTGAATAATAAATTTAAAGTAACGATGCAATATAAATGCTTATTTAAAATTGATCCTAGGACGCAAGCTAGTCCAATTAAATTATACGTCACGGTGGTTGGAAGGATTGAGTCGAAGTCGGGAAAGAAAGAACGGGTTAATCTCGAATTAGTTAAAATCTAAAAGTCGGACCCAAAATTAATTAGGTCATCAAAATGATGATATAAACCGAGGAAGTCACTAGAGATGCTCGTGGAGCGGGGCCTTACTCGTCTTTGTTCGTGTCCTCGCCTCCTATTTTAGTCTTCATCTCCGTGGAATTCTTCTTTTATTTTTGTAGGAATCGAAGTAGAAATTCTTCATGGAGAATTCAAGACAGATCGAGTTACCTATGATGAATTTTTTTTCGATCTTTTTATATATTTTTACAAAATATATTAATCTCAAAGAAGTATTTTAATCTCAGAGAATTTTTTCTTCTCCTTTTTCATCTTTGTTTAGCTAAAAATGGATCGATAGCACGACTACGAGTACAACTAGATCAATCCGTGTCAGTTTGAGTTCAAAATCTATTGTCGGGCCATCGATGATCCTCTCTAATTTCAAACCGTCAATAAATAAATAAAAATTGTACCATTCAAATTTTAAAATTTTAAGCAACGAGAACAAAAATAATTATTTTATTAATTATTTTTCTTTTAATACAAAACATAATTATTATTTTCTTTTATTACCCTATTTTTTCTATAAACTAAAAAGTTTGTATTTAAATAGTTATATTTAAATTATGTATCTTAAAATTTAAAATTTAAATAAACTTATTATTTATATAATATAAAAATGGTATATCGAACAAATAAATAAATAAATGTTTAAATAAATTGATATATTTATAAATTAGGAACAAAATAGCGAAATCATCCAGGAAATTACCAATTAGCCCATCAATCACCGTCCCATAAACTTGGCGCCACCTGCCTCTGTTCATCGAACGCCCACCTCACTTGGAGGCTTGGATTTTTTGATTTTACAAACAAATTGGCTTCTGATTCTCACAGTATACAGGAAAACAAGCGCAATCCAATTCGTATTTTCGAAGAAATTCATTTCAATTCAATCCCAATCCCCGTTTTCTCCCTTTTTTCTTGTTCTTCGGTTTGGGATTTTACATTTATATATGTTGGAATCAGGAAATGCTGAGAATCATCTCTCAGATGTTGGTTGTAGTGGTGTTAATGACGATGGTGATGATGAAGACAATGAGCGTCGTAAAAGTATGGCGAAGGGCCAAATCATCGCGCCTGATTTGGGTAAACAGAAGGGTTTTGGAAAGGCGAAACGAGTGATGTTGTATCCATTTCGAAAGGCGAAGAAACAGATTCTTCGGCGGAGGATTAAGAGAGATTCTTCTTCTTGTTCTTCGTCTTCTTCTGTTGATTGTACTAGAAGAACAAGTTCTTCCGATAAAAGGGTTTTTGATGGAAGCGTTAATCAGGGTTGTGGTTTCTGTTTCATGAAACTTTCAATTTCAGATTCTAAGAATGGGCCTCCGACTGATCCTAATCACCGGAAGTTCACTAATGAAATGTTGAAAGTTCTTATTGAGAAGAATGATTTCTATTCCAAGGAATCCAATCCTCACTTGGGTATTCATTCATCTTTCCTGTTCTTAATTAAACTTGATAGTTCATGAAGTTTGATGATATTGCTATGGTTTTTTTTTGTAGATGTTCATATGGGCACTGGACGAAAACATTAAATTCAATTGGGTTTTGCTTGTTGAGGGTATGTAACGACTTGTTATCCACGGATTGATTGATTTGATCAACTTTTTCCCCAATCTTCTCTTGTTTGCTAAGCAAATAGGAGAAATTTAGTGTTTGGTGAAGCTCTGGCGTTCTGTTTAGTTTATTTGATAGTAGCCTATTGATATATGTTCATAGTTGGAATGCATACTCCAAAGGAATATGTTGACCAAATTAGCTTTACTTTACATTCCATACTTCTGTCATATGAGAATCTGAGTATGAGTTCTATGATCATTGAAGGAGTTTTACGTTTTTTTTCGTGTCCCGGATGAACTCGACGATTCTATTCTGTGTTCAGGAGGTTAATGTTGTTCATGGATTGATAGATTTGATCAATTCTCTGCTATGCAAATGAGAGAAATTGTGTGTTTGGTGAGACTGGCAGTCTGTTTGGTTTATTAGATAGTATCCTATTGATGATGTATGTTCATAGCCGGAATATATTGACCAAATTAACTTTACTGAGCATCAAGTTTTCAATCCTCTCTTTTGGCATTTGAAAATCCAGATTGAGTTCTACAGTTCTTGTAGGAGTTTTACATTTTTTTTTTTTTATTGTTTTTGGATGATCCGACGATGTTATTTGTGTACGATATCCTTAATGTTTCTGATCGAGTAACATCAATGTTGAATGGTTAAAGCTAGAGGCTTTCTACTTATGAACAACTATAGTGATTACAACGCTCTTTGCTTATCTACAGAAAGATGAAGTATTATGCACTTGTGTCTCCTATTTTATATGTACGAAAAATCGAGACTTGTATCAGACAACTTAGTCTGCTGTTCTTCTTCATCGCCCCGTTTTATCTCATGGAAGTTAAGTTGATGGTATGCTACAAACTTCGCTAGTGATGCTTATTGTAACACTTCAAGTCTACTGCTAGCAGATATTGTCTTCTTTGAGTCGAATGGTTGCAGTGGAACGGTAGCGGCTTGTTTTAGGTTAGCAGATTTTGTCTTCTTGAGGGAAAGTCCGAAAGGAAAAGTCTAAAGAGTACAATATCGGCTAGTGGTGGATTTGTGATTCTTTTAAGGGGCTAAGCTGATGGCAAATACATGCCCATTTTTTTCCTCTCCTTTATGGTTAGTTCACCTTAAGAATGTAAGGTTCACTTAGCTTGATGATCCAGTGGACGATCTCCAGGAAGGTGAATACAAATTCTAGTTATATTTTGGATTGAGTTAGAAAATGGCGGAACTTAGGATTTTTTGTTGTAACTTTTCATCAAATTCTTGACTTAACCTGTCTCAAGTTTTTGAGAAGCTTTATTGTAAGATCTCACATCGGTTGGAGGGGGAAACGAAACATTCCTTATAAGGGTATAGAAACATCTTCTTAATAGACAGCATTTTAAAACCATGAGGCTGACGGCGATATGTAACGGGATAAAACAGACAAAATATCTACTAGCGGTAAACTTGTGTTGTTACACTTATTCTCATTCATTGCTATGTGACAAAATGCATGCAAGTTTAGTTCAAGCGTCTAGCCTTAACCATCCCTTTTCCCTTGTTAACTCAACTACCGACCCGAAAAGTTTCGGTCGAGAATGAAGTCGAGGAGGATTTCAACGAGGTCTTTGCTAGTGATTACAACATTGATTTAGAAAATCTGCATACTGATGATTAATATTTTCGAGACGAAGGAGATTTTTGTGTAGATGTTTTTTCTTTGTTTGATGATAACCAATTTGGATTGGAGATCCCTTCTTCTTCAAGTGATCCATCCCTCTTCTCAAGCTATTGTTATGGAGCCACCACCTTCTTCTGCTGCTAAGTCATTTTTGGTTGGGTGGAGGTTGCTTTTGATAGCCTGGTTGGTGGGTCTTTCTGCTTTTGTATGGTTGGCTCCTCCTCTGTTTGGTGGCTTTTCTTTGGAGGTTTTGGCATTGTTCATTGGGTATGTTGCCTTGCTCCTTTCCACTTTAATAGATAAATTTTTAAAACAGTTATTCGGTCTTCAATCTTCAATCTTCGTTCTCGTTCTTCGTTCTTCGTTCTTCGTGCTTGAAGTGTAAAAGAACGGAATGGTTTCGAGTCTTTTGATTGTATCGAAAAAATATATTAATTTGACAATATTTATTTTTGGTTTCGAGTTTCTCTCTTTTTCCACCCCATGGTGAATGTTAGTGATGAAGGCATGGAATGAAGCATGAACGATTGACTCGTGGGATTGACATGAGGAGGTGGGAATGATTATAGTTCTAAGAACGAACAACAACTAATCAATATATTTCAAATATTGAACTTTTTTTAGGTTGAAAAAAGGATTGTTCTTTAGCTTATTCATAGCAATTATCCCGCCAAATGACAAGAAACGGTGGTCCTAACTTTGTTTAGGGTGATCGAGTTCATGCTAAGAACGGAGGAAACTATAATAAAACACCATTGAAAAAAATGATCCCAATTGAAAAAAAGAAGAGAAAAACAAATCCCCAAATCCTAATTCTTACTCAATCAATCAGTGGAAAAAAAAAAAAAAAAAAAAAAAGAACAGAAATCCAAATACAATCTTCAATTTACAGCAACCTCCATTGATTTGCTCTATTATTTCGGAGCAAGCTTCGATTTGATCTTCTTGACCTCTTTTGTCCCAATCTGAAACGCCTTCGTCAAAACATTATCAGGCATCGGCGGAGATGCGGCGAAAAGCGTCGCCGCAATGGATTGAGTACCAGGCAACTGGCTGTTAAACGCCGAAATCACCGCCGCCGGAACCTTGCCGTTGTTTTTCTGGAAATGGACTAATCCCTTGGGGAAGACGAAGATCTCGCCCTTCTTGATCGTCTTCGAGACGAGGACATTGGCGGTCGTTATGAAGCCAACGTCGAGTTCGCCATCGAGGACGAACACGATCTCGGTGGCGCGTGGATGCGTGTGCGGTGGATTAAGGCCGTCGGGGGCGTAGTCGATCCGCGAGAGGGAGACGCCGAGTGTGTTCAGGCCGGGGATTGATTGGACATTGGCGCCGGTTACTCGCGAGCCAAGGCTATTGTTCGTGGCGCCTGGTTTGGCCAAGCCGTCGAAGAAGAAATCGTTTGCTGAGAAATTCGACTTGCAGGCGAATCCGTTTACTTTGATTCCTGATTTGATTCAAATGTTAAAATGTTCATGATCTGGAAATATAAACGGTTTGGGAATGCTGGTATAAATTAGGGCATATGATTTTTTCTGATCTTAAACATGGATTAGAACAGAGGAGATCCTTTGAATCAATCTGAATTTCCTGATATCTTCAGACATTTCGAATGAAAACAAGATCAAATTCAATTCTAGCTCAAGAACATCAAGAACATCAAGAACATCAAGAACATCAAGAACATCAAGACATTTTGAATGAAAACCAAAGCAAAAACCCTGTACCCTTTATCCACCTATGAACAAATGAAAACCCAGAAGAACCCTAAAAACCTTCAAGAACTTGAAGGAACAGAGCTTGAACAAGGAAATTGGGGAAAAAGAAGAGTAGGTACCTGAAGCAAGATCTGCGACGCAAACATCTTGAAGAAGATCGGGATCGGCAGCGGCGACGGTGAAGAAGATGAAGGCAAAAGGAGCAGCAAACAGAGCAGGGAGAGGCAGCTTCATGTTCATGATTGTGAAGAAATTTGGTGAAGAAGAAGAGGAGAGCAAAAGGGAAAAAGAAAAGTGGTTGTTGTGGGTGGTGGTTGGTTGAAGAAGTTAATATATAATTGAGCTATGAATTGAGTTTGATTAGGTTATGATGATAGCATTTTTTGAGAAGATCGGGCATGGAAGGCACCAAAGATGCCACTTCTTAGGCAAGTCAATGAGCGATGTCCCCATCTTGTTGGTTCTTGTGGAAATTTTCGACACTCGTTAACGTTCCAAGTCGGCCACCTTTACGTCTCTTGGGAGCATTGACCAATGAGAAGTTAGATTTCACCGACTCGAAGTCGTCTCTCTCAATTGGTGTAATAGCTCAACCTACTACTAGTAGATATTATCTTCTTTAGGTTTTTCCTTTCAAACTTCCCGTCAAGGTTTCTAAAACGGGTATGTTAGGGAGAGGTTTGCCCATTCTTATAAAGTATGTTTCGTTCCCCTCTCTAACCGATGTGAGATCTCATAATCAGATTATAGTTAAACTAGTTAATGTTAAGAAAGTTACAAGAGAATTTGATTTATATCTTCTTTCCCTCAAGGTTTTAAAATGTGTTATACTAGGGAGAGGTTTTCACATTCTTATAAAGAATATTTTGTTCTCCTCTCCAATCGATGTGAGATCTCACAATCCACTCTATTTGGGGACCTAGCGTCCTCGTTGACACATCTTTCGGTGTCTGGCTCTGATACCATCTGTAACCGTCCAAGTTCACTACTAGTATATATTGTTCTTTTTGGGCTTTTCCTTTCGAGCTCCACTCAAGGTTTTAAAACGTGTCTGGTACCAGGAGAGGTTTTCACACCCTTAACAAGAATGATTCGTTTCTCACTCCAACCTAGGTGAGATCTCACCTAGTTACTCCTCTAATTGAACTTTGATCATACACAGGAGAAATTTCTAGCACGACAATAGTACACTGCTAGTAGATATTGTTCTTTTTGGGCTTTTCCTTTCGGGCTCCACTCAAGGTTTTAAAACGTGTCTGGTACCAGGAGAGGTTTTCACACCCTTAACAAGAATGATTCGTTTCTCTCTCCAACCCAGGTGAGATCTCACCCAGTTACTCCTCTAATTGAACTCTGATCGTACACAGGAGAAATTTCTAGCACGACAATAGTACATACTCTTTTCATTCAACATTTGACACAATATTATTTTATTTTATGGGTCTCATACGATTATTTCAAACAATGAATAGCGATAGTCGTAGTCCTAGAATTTTTCATTGTAATAAATTCATCTATATCACAACACCCATAATCTTGTTTTACATAATCATCACAAACATAGTTACAAAATGCTCACTCCACATAGCATGGTACGACACTGCATCCATATAGTTTCATCGAACAATAACAAACACGATATTTGTACGTTAATTTGTAACCAGTCAAACCCACCGCTAGCAAATACTATCCGCTTTGGTCTGTTACGTATTGCCGTCAGCCTCATAGTTTTAAAATGCGTCTAATAAGGAAAGGTTTATGCACGGTTATAAGAAATGTATCTATGATGAAGATTGTTGGGATTTATATCCAATAATTTGAATATTTTATTTTTAATTTAATATTATTTATTATATAAAAAATCTAAGGTTATTAATAGCTTGAGAGTAAATCCACCTTCTAACTAGCTCGAGAGTGACTTAGTTTATGGTTGAATAAAAAATAAATTGTTTATTGATAATTTTTTTTTTTTTCTTTCTAAAATTATATGTTCTATTTATTTATTTTAGTAAAATAAAATAAAAATAAAAATAAAAATAAATTGACATGTGACAATAAATGTCTTAAACGTTCCAACAGCAGAACCAGAACTATTGAATGGTGGAAAAAAGAAAAAACGAAAGGCATTGATAAGAATGTTTATTTTTTTATTTTTTTATTTTTAAAAGTTATTAAAACTTTCTTTTTTTTCTTAAGAAAAATTATCAATAGAATTAACATTTTTATTTTTATTAAAAAAAAAATTAATTTAAAACCCGAACAATTGGGTTAGGTCTATATAATTTCATCAGACGCCTTCCTTATTCTTAATTACAAATAAGATTGAGAGGAACCTGAACTAAACCAAACCAAGAACGAAAACCGATTTGATTCACTCCCCATTCTCTCTTAAATATAGAGATCGCCCTCGAGCTTTTAATAGTCCGGGGTGGGTCAGCTGAGTTTTTCCTATTCTGTTCCCACTATGAGAAAGACAAGTATGCCCAACCATGAGAAAGACAGGTATGTCCAATACATAGAGGATTCGTTGAAATTTTCTCTTGTCTCAGTAGGGGATTGTATGATTTTTGGTTTGACCTCCCGTAGTGGTCTTGTTTTTAATAAAGCGAAGGAGGACCAATCTCTTGTACTTGCTCAATGTGCTCCTCTTTCATCGAGTGCCCTGCTCGATTCACTAGATTTGTTGACCGACCAAGCACTTGCCCACCGCTATTGCCACCCATAAGGAAAAGAGTATAGATACTATGAAGGCACCAAAACAAACAAACAAAAATGGTGGAGAATCAATAAGAACAACGTGTGGTTTTAAAAAATAATATAATAAAAGTTATGTTGCCAAAATGATCTCTACCTCTTAGCCAATGGCTGACTATAAATAGGTGTTTTGGGTTCCTTCACCAAACCACAACACTCACTTTCTTCTTCTTC